GGAGGCACATTGAGGCACATTGAGGCACGTTGTCTTCTAGATATGTGTACCTGTTTTAGTTGAGGATGGTATTCTAGCTTAATTTGTTTAGGGCGTCAGGACAAACTGAGTGCTAAGTTGAAGTACTGGTAAGCTGTGGATTTCATGTAAGCACTCATGATAGGAGAAATGTCCTACAAAAGGATTAATCTAACTTGGCTCCATTCCAGGAATGGGTCTGGCCTATCGGCTACTTCTTACGTGCCAAGCTGCACTTTGGCCGTCTCCTGACCCCTGAGCCGTCATTGCCATCGGGGACGGGAACAGACGAGGACTTGTTCCATGTCACGGTCAGCTTCGTCCGCCAGATACTGTCACGCCACCACACGGAGATGGAGCTGTCGCCTTGGAAGGGGCTGCCCGAGCTGACCAACGCGGATGGTCAGTTCTGCAAGGATAGTTGCCCCACTCAAGCCTGGTCCATGGGTTGCATCCTGGAGGTCTTGCATGATTGCGACAAGTTATTAGAAGATACTGCCAAAGCAATGTAAACTTGTATGCAGAAGACCTCGATGACATTAAGATTTGGGTATTAAGAAGGAATGCTTGTGTTAGAAGGGTCGTCCAAAACACCTTGAGCTGTGACTGCGACTATTTTGGGAAATTAAATCATCTACATGTTAATTTCAAACTTTAGCTAATTTTTAATTTAATATTCATAAATACCTCAGACAGTTTCCCTATTCAATAATGTGCAGCTTGACCGCGTATTAACATTTGATGATGCCCGCTGAGAAGTGATAATGCCTGCTGAGTAAACCACAGACTGCTGCCTGATACGAGACAGTTTAATGGACTCTGATTGGTCAAGAGCCTGTGTGCACGTGGCTCGCCATGCGCGCGCACCAAGTCCATATAAGGAGATTCTTTTGGACAACTGTAAAATAATCTGGACAGTAGCCTCGTTGGAAATCTGTCATATATGGACTTCTTTTGACTCTCTGACTAAGAAAGGTATTTATGAATGGGAATAAATAGGTGCTTGGCCAGTCTTAAACTAACATTTCAGACCGGCTCAGGAGCATGGATGCCGATAATGGCATTAGTTACGCCCATTCTCCTGAGCTGGTCTTCAACAAATAATTATTCCCCTATCAATGCACAGGCACAAGATGTCACAAACCATTCACTGGAAGACAGTTGGTTCTCATTGGACATGCTTTGCATTTTGAGAAGAAATGATTACAAATGAATACATCTTCATACAGTTACAATCCGTCAGGTTGCCATGATTGACCAGTACACATTTCAGGGGCACCTCATGTTTTATGCTGTATTTGTCCATAGAAAGTTCAGGAAAAAATAATGGTGCAAGTTCCTATGTAAAAAATAGAAATTGAAAGTGCTTTGCCACTAGGTAGTGTTGGCTTACTTACTCATTAGATCAAACTTTGTAGATGACAGCTGTGTGTTGCATCCGGAAAGAATCTTTTGGGAAGATCATAGTCATAGGAAAATTAAGTATTCTGAATATATCTAAAAAAATTATCTGAACAATTTTAGAAAAATGTTGTAACAAATCTAGAAATCTGCGAAATAGAAATTGAAACGGTAGGTACATGCTGCCATGCCATCTGCCAGCTACCTGTAACTTCAACTGAAGTTAGAAGCAATTTCACAGACCTGGCTATTACCTTTGGTGTGTTAACTTAATGGTGCTGTGCGAGATGTCGTACATCGTGGTGTACATTGTAGATATTTATGGACTGTTCTCCGTGTGTGTAATTCACAGCTCACTGTCGTTGTGTTACCTTCCGTATCGTATCGTGTTTCTGGTATTCGGACAGCTTCACACCCGAGAGATTGTAAACCAGCATCAACTCTTAATGTCTGTAGTATAGAGAACTTACAAACGATTGGATACCTCCGGCCATGATGGGTCATAATACAGAAACTGATGAAGAAATGGAGAGAAATATCCAAATATAAGCGTCGTCATTAACTTTTGGCCCACCCATGGTCCTGGGCCAGAAATTATCCTTCCCAGGGTTGGTTCACTGTGAAATATTCTGGGTATGAACTGCTGTAAGTGGTAGGTGAAGAGTTATTGCTCAGGTCTTGTGATAGTAAGTTGTTGATTTGGTTTAGGAGAAACGTAATTGGAATGCAGTAAATGTATATGTGAATGCATGTGGTAGGTATTTGGAAGTTGGCTTTAACAATGTTCCAAATTACCTTTGATCCTGAAGGTTGGAAATGAACCCTAACAATCCTGAATCCTCCAATTTTAATATGATTTTGCACACACCCGAGGGAGTTAGGGTTAAATGCTATCACGCCCTGCTTTCTGGGTAGGAAGTTTTCATGTATAGACATCTCTAAATGCTCAAGCAAGAATCTGATGATTGTGTGAAGCTTATTAACATCTCGCCCATTGAACGTAGTGGTTAAGTCGTGTGTTGAAAAATGTGAACCTGTTGAAAAATTGGCTTGCAAAAGTTTGCAATAGCTGAGAAATGGATTGTTGACAGAAAACAGTTTGAAATTTTATTGAAATAAGATTATAGAGAGATTTATCTTTTGTACGTAGTTTAAATGATGCACAGTAGTCTTTTTTTCCTAAGCAATATATACGGGCTGCAATGCTCTATTCATTTCTTGTGCTCTGTACTATTTCCATGGTTCTATGTGGTTGATTTGTGGTCATTTTTATTACAATGCATGAATCAGATTTTGTTGTATGTATATTAATAGGTTGTTGATTTATAGCATGTTTATTGTATTACCAAATGTGAAAGTTTATTTTTAATAGTTAAAAGCATAAATAGCATTGTTTCCAACACAAGTTAGGAAAACTTTGAAAGATGTTGAAGATTTTTCAATTTAATTCAAAATGAATTATTTTGTAACCAAATAGAGCCAAATTTCCTCCTGTGATGTTGCACTGACTAAATGTCCAACATGGCAGCTATGCTAGATTTTAAAAATCAATCAATATTGTTGGCTTTCCTTGAAGTTCATGAATAGTTCACCAATCTTCAGTAAATTGTGCATAGAATTTGGAGTTCTGATTTGGAGAGAAAAACAGTAACGAACTGGAATTGTTGCACCTCTGAAATGTTAACAGTAAATCATGTGGTTTATACATGTTCATTTCTTAGTCACGTGGTCAAGAGAAAATTGCCACAGATATTGCATGAAGGCGGTAAGTTTTTTCCACTGATTCCAGCAAATAGATTGTCATAGTTTGGGGGACAGAGAAGACAGGCATTGTATTAGTAGATATCTGTATCATCTACTGAGGACATGCTGTCATCCTGTCTTGGTGCATGAAACATTTGTGCTTCTTACTGTCATCTGATGATTATAAAAAGGTTTTGAGTGGGAATTTTTTTCTAGCCTGTTGAGATGGAAACAATCAGGGTATTAAATTGATATGCAGTGGTTTAATAAAATGTCTTGCAGCCTTCCGTATTAACACAGAAGCATCACATGCAGAAGAATTTGTCTCAGAGATCTGTGAAGAGTTTTATTTCTTCCATTGCTCATTTATTGGGACAACCCTTATAAAAATTCAGAAATCCGATCTGTCAGGATTTTTTAAAATACCCTTTGGTCTACAGAAAATAAATGTTGACATTAAAAATTGTTTAATTTAGAAATTGAATTGCATTGATTCCTAAATACCAACTTTTGGCAGCTTTCTGAGAATGATGAGAACCTTGCTGTTTTCAAACACCTACAGCGTACAGTGAAAGGTGTCTATTCATCGGTGTTGATACACATTTCAAAGAATTGTCAAAGATCTTCATCTAAACATCCTAGATGGCATGGAATCCATAAGAGGTTTGGGAGGAATTTGCAAGATTGAAGAAAAAAAGCCCAACTTGGCCATAGTTACTTACCACAGGGGCCTTACTCCCCTCGAAAATTACAACACAAAGAAATATGCCTGAACCCTAACCCCCAAGGGTTGCTGGCCCTAACCTTCCCCATTCACACAGTTAAACACCCATATGGGACTTCGTGCACAGAGGCTGTTGGACTTTGTTTTTCTGAGGTATGCCAAACCCAATGCAAAAGCCTGCTGTTATGGGCCTACGAGACCTATCCCCACAAAATTAACCACTTTACTGCTGTTTAATTCTGTGTGGTTTGGGAAGGTTAGGGTTAAGCTCCTGCAAAGTGGGCATAGTAGAAGATTTTGAAGGATACAAAAGTCTTAAATGAAAACTGTCTTGGTAGTTCAGATATAGTAAAACTTTACAATTTGTGTGAAAAATATTAAGTTGAAAACCGAAAACACCCTGACATTTTTGGCCAGTAAAACAAACTTGTAATTATGTATGGCGCATTTACTTCATATGGGATAAAACGTGGCATTCAATTAATAATTGACGTTTTTTCAGGACAAGACTTTCACTCACTAGTCTGTCTTCTCGTCCTTGCTTGATTTCTCTCGTATTAACTGATCCCTGACTTGAGTCAAGGTGTACCCCAGTAGATTCCTTCCCCGCCAAGTTCTCTTGCTCTTTGCTTTGGGGTTGTTAGCTCCAAGGCCAATGCCCCAGACGGTGTCCCTTGGACTGGCCTCGACCAGCACCGTGCCCTGGGTCAACAGAAGCTCACGCTTCAAGTCCGGGTTCTGAGAAAACTAGAGAGAAATTAAAACATCGGTGAAAATGTGGTCAGCTGCTTTTTCTGAAATGTGAACTGAGGATATTGCAATAACTTGGCCGATATGTTTGCAAAGGAAGGTCTTTGAATTTTAAATGCTTGAAATGTTCTACTGGGAGCCTAGTTCATATCAAACAGCATGAGAAAGTCTGATATTTCCAATACAAACACAACCAAGGCCAGTGTAAGTAAGCAGCAAGGCAGAGAACCAAACCCATTTCATATAAAAATATGCCTTCAATGAGTCAGAATTTAACCTTCAACAAAGCACGAATTGAAAGTGAGGCTACCGTTGTTTCTTAAGAGGATACCCAGAAAGAAATCCAGAATAAGTACATTTTGCATGTTCAAGAGTTTGAGGTCAACTATGGAAAATTCAATTACCATTAACCTACTTTGTGCTCTGAGCGTATGCACGGTAAGTACATGTACCTTTGCATAGCTTCCCTTCTTGACAATTGAGAGTCTGTTATCCTTCCACACTTCATCATCGAAACCCTTCACCTTCCGTCCCAGCTTCTTCATGGACTGAGGGTTTATCTCCTGAAGGATTTCTTGAGCTATCTCATCATCTCCAAATAGCACTAAGGACATGATGGACATGACACAAAAAGTGTGTAAATTAAAAATCAAACTTGAAAATGATTAAAATAGTAATGCCATGTGAGAATCAAGTTCCCCATATCTTACTTGCTGAAATGCTATTCTATGCTATGCAAATTGAAGACCAGTTAATGTCTGGTTTGTTTTAGGTTTGTACTTTCACCTGCTTTCTGGTGCATCATATACTGCTCTGCGTTCACGTAATGGACGTCATCCACGGTAAATTCTGAAAAATGATGCTGACTAAACGGTGAGCTCTTGGTGTAGAAAAAGGTATACTTTTCCACTTCTGTATCACCGTCACTTACATCAGACTGTGATGTTGCTCCCTGCTGTTTAGAAGTCATCTTTGATTTCTTTGTCGTTCGCCCTGCCTCCTTTGCGACTGCTAGTGTAATTGTGCGCTTTGGCATGCCTGCAGTGGTCGCAGAAAAATCGAGTCTCTGAACGCTTTTTATACGTACGGGAACAGTCCCCAGTTTGACCCTAAATGGCTAGTTACTGTGTTAGGGAAATCTGCCATGTAATTAGTTGCAGCATCAAGGGAGGCTATTGTGAAATTTGTCTAAATTTCTGTCAATTCTATCTCAGTATCTGTCCACACAGTTGCCCTTTGATTGTGCAAACGGGAAATCCCTTCATGATTACATTTTGATCTAAAAATAGTTACAACTACGGCTATTTGGCAAAAATAAATGTGCATCATGCAACAGTCACCGGATTTTGTTGGATTTTCGTTACTGTTTTATGTTTTAGTATCGACAACATACAACAGTCGTACGTGTTGGAGCTTTTCCCATAATACTTCCGGGGTGGCAAGGCATGTGATTGGTTGCTTGCATGAGTTTGCCGCCAAATGTGAAAAAACATAAAGCTAGCTAAGGAATACAGGGAGTATGGTACGGTGCACACTTTCTTAATCTTTTGATGATCAGACTGGTTCAGATCCTGCAGTTGTTTTGAGGTTGCATACTTCTTGGATATTAGTCTTTCATCTAGCGAAGGTTTTTCGTCGATTTGGAATATGCTGTGAGTATACAATTAATTGTTTGGAACGTATCCCTGCACCATGTACCATCGCGTACCGTTGTCTGCTGACTTGTATGACTTGGTTCTGCATGTTCAGCTAGCATGGCTAATTGCGGTAGTGAATAGGTCATGTCGTGTTTTTCTTGCGGTAAAAGTTGTATTTCCAGTCATAGAGCAAGGAATGGTCTAGTCTAGCATGATTTTAATATTGTACCTATGTTAAGACAAGTAATTATCATGATTATGAGACAAATATAAGCGTGAGAAATATTAATCCCGATCCCGTCAGCTGGTCAGTGGACAGGTGGAGGTCGGACTCAAGAATTTCTGTTGACAGTCAAGACAAGTAATTTTTTACCCCCAATTTCTCTGACCGACGAACCCTCCCTAACATTATTATGAGAGCCGTGGACACCATAGGCTAATTGACGATGTAACCCTAGTGAGTAGTGTCCATCCATGAATGAGTTACAAGTTTCTATTGTGTTGCGATGTTGGTACATGGTACGTGTACAAACCTGTACAAACTGGTTCAAATTGTCATTTTGTGTAGTCTGTTAATTGTCATGGTTGTACAACTTGCTGGCTCACCAAGCTGCTGCCAGTACCTGTCTAACACCAATGGGGGTCTAGCTTTTTCTGACGTTAGTTTCCTTTGGCAGGATAGGCCTAGGAATAGGGCCTAGACCTAATTGAAAACTGTTCCTTATTTTTTGTTTTCTACAGTAAATGCAGAACAAGGTCTCGCACAGCCCCGGGTCTGGTATCAGCCTCTAGCAGGCCCAGAGCTAAACCAAACAGGAAGAATGAAGTGCAGGCCGTCAAAAAAAGATCCAAAAGTGGCTCAAAACAGCTGCAGGAATTCATAACGCCGACATTCACATGGGACATTCCCAAAGTAGACAAACAGGCCATTTACAATGATCTTGGGGTGAAAGAAATGGACACCGGAGGCGCTGTTGATGGCAAACAGTTATTGCTTGGCAAGAGGGCGAATAACAAGAGAATAAAGAAACCTGCAACAGTAAGTCCGTGTTGAACTTGAAAGAATTTGAGGTTTAGACATTGAGGGTCTGAGACAGTGCTCTGGCAGATCCCGTTGGTTAGGCTATAAGGAACCGAACCACATTCTATAATTTAAACTCCCCTATTAAAATAGCTTTTGGAAAATCTATGAGGGTTGAATTTTGTAATGATCTTTGGTGAACTTAGTTTAATTTGCCCAGTGTAACTAAGCAAGGTCAAATCTGAATAATAATGGACATTTATGTCCAAAATTATCTCATGTTTTTTATTGCTTCATTTTCCAGGTTCCTAGCCGTGCTGACAAGGTTAAAGGTCACCTAGTCTCCCCTAACCAGTTCAAGTCTCAACAGGCTCACATTCACAATGGCCGTTACTGCAGCTGTAAGAAGCAGTTAGACCTCGAGGATCTCTCGGGTATGTCCTCATCCAAAAATTGGATGCAAAAGAATCCTGTTTTGAAGACACTCTGAATCATTTTCACTTCTTGGAATCTACCTAATTACTGAAGAGTTGATTACTTGAATAACAGAACATAATGGATGGGTAATAAGAGAACTTGTGGAATTATGTGGCAAATGAAATGCCAGCCCTGAATTCTGTGCCCACTTAAGTCTCAGTTGCATGGTTATGCTGTTTGATGAGACTTCAAACCCCAAATTTGCTATCTGTGAGTACAAGAACAGCCACAGATTGAAAAGCTGTTCTTTGGGAATTGTCTTATGTTTTAGAAATTTTGGCAACAATGTTTTTTTGTTTAATGCTTTGATATAGCGTCAGAGCTGTAATTCAGTGCCAACTGTTTTGTCAACGAATGACACAGTGCTCCCTATGTCCCATTTCTTCCTCAGATCCATTTTGCAGACTATCAGACGAGATCATGCTAGGTATCTTCTGGTGGTTGCCAATGACAACCCTGGCCCGCTGTGCAAGAGTCTGTAGGCGCTGGTACCATCTAGTGTAAGTGGATCAAATTCTTTCCTTAGTTTTCACAAACATGATTACCACATTGCTCTTTGGAATGGTCACAGACTAGTTGATATACCTCAAACAAAGGAGGGCAGATTTTATTTTTCAAGTTGTTAACAAATAAATTTGGAATACTATTACACCATTGTTGAGCATGTGGTATTCATTAATTACAAGTGAATGACCTTTAACCTCTGGCATGTGGCCGTCTTTTTTAATATCCCCAAATATGCAGTTGTGTTGCGTAAAAACAAGCTGTAAAGGCCTCAGGTGTGGTAATATTGCTGCCCAGGGTTGTACACACTCTTAAAAAAATAAGGCCATCTTAACGCATACACCAATGGTGACAGGAACTATACCGTCCTGAATTCAACAAAATCTAAGTTTATCAAAAGCTGGTTTAAATGGTAGATTTTGAAAGATCAGGTATTCAAACGATATTCTGAGAACTTTAAATTTTTTACTGTTGTTACTTGTAATAGATTTGATGACAGTCTGTGGAGACGGATAGACATCTCCAACAAGACTTTTGCCTCGGGAATCCTCGGACAAATCTTGCAGAGAGGCACAGTGGCTGCCAAAATTTCACGTTGCTCCATACACGGTCCTGTGTTTGATGCTGTCCTCACAGAATCACCAGCCAAGATAACAAGATCGGCTTCAAAGGCATCCAAACTGTATGAAATTGTCATTTTTTGCAGCTGTAAGAACTATCAGACAATTCAACGCCAAAATGCATTCAGTAGTTGTCACCTAAAATTGCTCCATAAAAACCCCACAAAATTGCAGTTCAGGCCCATTTCCCTTTACAAGGTCCTGTATTGTGTCCTCTTGCAAATACAGTAGCTTTTTGGTTACAGTTGGTACCGTTACAAAACCATGGCCAGTTATTGAGAATAACAGAGCTAAGTTTGCTTAAGCTGCTTTGATGAACAAACGTAAATGTCAACTAACTAAAGGATTACATATCTGTTTGATACTGATAGTTCCAAATGCCATGTTGAGTCAGCGCTCAGACAATCCCTTCATCTGAAGTACATTGACCTAACGGCCACTGATGCCAGGCCAGAGCAATTGGTGGAGATTCTTGACCGTTGCCCTGGTAACCAGATCAAGAAACTCAGCCTGGAGAGTTGCAGGGTGAGCGACGAAGTCATGAAGTCCATCGCCAAGCATGGGCGGAGCCTAAAGGAGCTCAACCTGTGTATGTGTAGCGGCCTGAAAGAGGCGGGGCTAAGAGCGGTATTGAGAAACTGTACAAAGTATGTCACATTTTGTAAAACACGTGAAATATCTCTTATTTACTTTTACAGAGAAAATAAGTGATTGAGACATAACCATTACCATTAACCCTAACTTTACGATTACACTGACCAGGACTTTCCCAAAATCCTAAAAATGGTCCACTCTGGTTGGAACCAGTGTTACTTTCTTTGTACAGATGTAGTAAAGTTTTTAAGGAGCTTCGATTCCCATGTCAAGCAAGCATGGTCTAATGTCCAAAATCCTACAAAATCCTTCAATTCTTCTGAGGGATTTTGAAGAATCTAGGAGGGGAAGAAAGATATTTACTATCTTCTTGGTAGATCAATGCATTTTAGTATAAGCATTACTCTGTCTTCCCATTAACTGTCACTTTTAATTGCAGATTACAATCACTAAATCTTGGCTGGGCCAACCTGTCCCGTAAAGAGATTGATGTCTTCATGGAATATGTACCTAAAAGCTTGGAGAAACTCAACCTGAGTGGGTATAGGCAAACGCTAAGAACTGTGGGTAAGAGGAAAGGACAATGTCCGCATTGTTGCAAGATAAGGGATAATCAGTACAGGCCAAGCTTAGGGTGCTGTGAACATTTAGCTGGATGGTTGTATTAACTTTTCAAGAAACCTTGTACTTCCCTCTAAGCACAACAGCCTAGATGTGCTTACGCTGCATGTAAGTTGTTATGAGTTATATTTTAAGAATTTCTAGTGACTCAATTAATTTGACAAACTCTTGATGATGCTTTACAACTTCAGGTTTTCGGTAGGATGCATGAACAGAACTGTTTATTAGTGGATTCCAAAGTTGATTTTTCTTTGTTTCTTTCAATTATTTTCTTTGGGCAGATGTTGTTCTACTAACTTGTAGGTGTCCAGACATGAAAGAATTGGACCTTAGCGATGCTGCGGTGATAGACTTTGCAGCGATTGAGAGTATTACAGAGAGCATGACCCAACTACAACACATCGCTCTAAGTCGATGCTACAGCCTCCCGCGACTGTCATTTGTGTAAGTAACTATTAGTAAAATAATGAGACCAGTGTTGTAGTCAAGTCCATTACAAGTCAATCCAGTCTGAAGCCAAATCACAAGCTATTCAAATAAACTGTGATCGATGTGGTCTTGTGAAGGACTTGTGACCGGCCTTGTGAAACGACTAATGACTGGCCTTGTGAAAGGACTTGTGACTGGTCTTGTGAAAGGACTTGTGACTCGGTCTTGTGAAGGGACTTGTGACGGACTGAATGCAACACTGGACTAGAGCGAGGGCTTGCGGTAACACCGTGTGGATAGATCTCTTGACGTTTCATTCAGTATGCTCTTTCATCCTCGGGGGGGGGGGGTTGATCAGAATACTTGTATATAAGGACTGTGTGGGCATTGGATCTTGGATCCCTGATGTAAATTGGTTATGCCATGTGAAGTCTAACAGTAAACATGCAAAGATTTCTTTACATACATGTCATGTATGCGTGTCCCACACAAAATGACAGCGTACCAGAATATATGCAATATTTGTCGTGAAAATAAAACCAAAACANTTTGCCAAAACTTTCTTTTCTCAATTATATCTCCAACAGCCAACTGGGCATGCTCAAACACCTCCGTGCTCTTGATGTTTTTGGACTGGTCCAAGAATCAGGGATGCTGGAATCTATGCAAGAACTCCTCCCCGGGGTCAAAATCAACAGCTATCCCTTCTCGGCCATCGCGAGACCAACAACCACCAATAAACACAACATCATTTGGGAAATAATGTGCTACGAGTGAGTTTTTGGAAGAAGTTATAACGTTTTTCAATTTCACAACCAAATATATCTTGCAAAGTGCTCAACAAATGGACAGAGTGTCACCGACGTAAATCAATTTCAAGGAAAGATTACTTCAGCGCCTTTTTATTGAATAACAGATTTTTAAGGAGGCTGCAATAAGTAGGGGTGCATTTCAGTGGTCATTTGGAGAATTAGTAATGCGTAAGTTTGCCTAATTAAACTTGTCCACTACCATGCACCCCAGGAAAGATCAAGAAGAGTTTAGTGGACCCATTTCTTTGAAGTGCGCCCTCTTGTGGTGACTAATAGTGACTGTGGCTCCATTTTAGTCCACTGTGGACCACATGCAATTCTAACATGAGATGGAATACTGGCATTCACTGGAGTAGCGTTGTATGCAGTTAGGATAAGCCTGTGATGGATTGCTCATTGAGGATTTGCCTGCCTAATCAATCTGATTAAGTACAAGACTAGAGCTGTACATGTATATATAGAGAGTAGCACCAACTTCAGACTTTGGAACCAAAATGGCTGTTCATTAGGTGTGCAGCACAGCATGCAGCTATTGTTTGCTAATTGTCCATGTGCACTGAGGAATAATCCACCATTTTGGTTCCAAAAATTGAGCCACTTATGTCGCAACTCTCTTTAAACAACCCTAAACAAGACTAACAATTTGTGTGTGTGTCTAAAATGCTGTTCCACTTTTACTTTGTTTCTTCCTTCCAGACGGTCCTGTTCAAACCTTGTCCAATCACATGCATGCTTATTCTTGCATTAATAAATACTCTTGAGTTAAGTAACCATAACAGTCTCATAGGATTCAGAATTAGGATTAATGTGCCATTCAATACATTTTTAATACATTCAGCAATCTACAGGGAGTTTTTAATTGTTACATATCAATTGTCTTAAAAAGATTTAGGGAAGGTTAATGGTATGTAAGCTTTAAAGCTTTCAAGAACATTTTGTGCTTGACAGATGTATTTTGCTGCATAAATCAAAGCATGATGTACATATACAAGAAATTAATGTTGCATTCAGTTCTAGTGCCTTACTATTACAACTTTTACTAACATACTTTTCACACTTTCAGATGAACAGCCTGATTGGCCAGATGTCTGTGTTAAGACAGAGCAGATAGGTAAACTAGGATATAAACTACCTTTTAAGGGGAAAATTATTGTGGTGTTTACCTTTTCAGTATGATGGCTATAAAAATGTACAGACATAATCGCTGTTTTTATTTCTTTTCAAAGTCTTCTACAACACAAATTAGTTTTGTTACTGCAGGTTTTTTAACCTCACAGTGACAGTTTTTAATCAATGACTTGTGCATACCTAGTCAGTTACATTGCCTTTTTGTACAAAAGTAAACAACTCATTCAGCTCATTAAAAAGAGAAAGTAACTGCTGTGTTGAGTCTCCTTCTTAACAAGTTCAAGTTTGTGAGTTACTAGTTCCCTGATCCTGTTTGTTGAAATGAATTCTTAACTTTCCAGATCAGCTACAAAACAGTGAGTGAAATGTGCTCTGTACATGTATGCATTGACGCTGATCTTAAGTGCCAAACTTTAATGCAAAATAATTGATACCAGCATAAGACAAGGACTTTCGTAAAGTTATCTTTCAAAAAGAGCTTTTTTTTTTAAATATCACAACTTTGTATCAGTTCAGTGTATTTGCAAAGTGACAATTTCAAGTCCAACCTTTTTGACTTTCTGAACCTTTTGAGGGAGAGAACGCTTCATTTGAAGATTGTTGTCCTGTAAAATTTCAGCTCGTCGATACTCTCCATAATGTCATCCAACGCACGGTGTGCTGCCTTCTTCTGAGGGGCATTTTCAAACTGCCCTGGGTACCAGCGTCTGAGTGGAGCAATAGACGAGGCAGGGAGAGGGTGTATATGAGAAACAGTGTATGAAAACTGCTTGAAAATGGAGCTCAGAAACTACGAAGCATGACTTGGTCAAGTAAATGAGACAGCAAATTTCACTAACAAACAAAATATATTTTTAATGTTTCATCTCTCACTGTAAGACAATTTACAGAATTGTTTCAAAAATACTTGTTTTCTTTATAGTTCAACTTTCAGGCAAAACCTGTCAGGAATAACTTGTATGTGAGCCTTTTAGCCCCCAAATTTTCTGACTTGTACAGTACCTGCACAGCTCCTTGACACTGCTGACATCCACGATCCTGTAGTGCAGGTGGTTCATGAACTGGGGCATGTACTTGGCTAAGAACTTCTTGTCTTCATGCACACTGTTGCCAGCCAGCGGACAGATTTTAGGGAGGGTATGCTTGCGAACAAAGGCCAGCATTTCATACTCGGCCTGCTGCAAAGAGATCTGGATAAACCCGCAAAATGTGGAGTAGTGTTCATTACAATTATGACTAAACAGATTTTGACTTCATGTATCTCAGTTTATTTTCTGAAATGCCAATTCAAGGATTTTTCCTGAATACTGTAGGTTAAATCAATGAATTGAATCAATGAATAATCCAGTGGTATGTTCTTCGCTATCTCAAAAAATGGAGACATCAACACTTCAATCAACGGTTACTGTACCCTACTACAGTCCTTAATACAACGAATCTCAGCAAAACCAAGAACTGGACATTGGTACAATTATACAGGACAGGATTTCACATCTTTGAGCAATAGATTAAAGATGACATCAACGGAACTTGTAAGCCAAGAAACCAATAGTTCTGACTACTATGCTCCATATGCTAGAAAAAAAACCCTGTAAAACAAAAATCAAATTACCTTACTAGCTCGGACAGCATCGACTAGGCCCGAATCGGTGTGATGTTTGACGCACCATTCGTTCATCTTGTTCAGAGTCTCTTCAGGTTGGTGTATGATGAGATTAGGAGCCTGAAACACAAAATTACTACCAATAAAAAGAATAAACAGCAGAGATAGAAAGGGAGATGATGTAGACTAACCATGTAAGCCTACATGTACCTGGCCCAAACCGGACCAGAAAAGGTTTTTACTTTATCAAGCAAGGTAAAGAAATTTGAGGACTTGGAGACATACTCGAAAACCTCAGAAAAAACAGTAGCAACGTAAAAATGCATATGTATTATTTTTTGCCATTTCTAAAGGTTCTTGTGGGAAAACTGCTCAAGTGAGTTATAAATCAGACCTCAGCTACAACGTTGAGGTCGCTGTCTGTCACAAGGCAAGCCATCTCCAAAATGTGGCAGTTCTCCACGTCCAACCCTGTCATCTCCAGATCGACCCAAATGAGCCGATTTTTCAAATTATTTCTCTGATCCGGAGGCATTGCGTCCGTTCTTCCGTCAAACACGTGTCTCTTCACTGCTTCCGTCAAGAAAGCTTTTGTTAAAGATCTCTGACCCACATTTCTGTGACAAGAAAAGTACGGGAGAAAACGAGAGACGGCTGTTTTGATCATGACATGTGGAATAATCTAGTTTCCTATACCTGAGGTACCGATATTTTATTTATGTACTAATTGGGGCCAGACTACTTATGTTTATTTATGTTTAACCTCCGACCTTACTTTTAACTATGATGTGCAAAATTTATTTGAAAAAAAAATGGCAAATTTTGCCCTAAGTATTGAGAGAATTCAGTTTACAAACTTATGATAGAATCTTAAGAAGTATATAACATCTCACCAAATGTTTATTTGTGCTTTTTGTATCTTTTATCATTTTCTTTCATTTTAAGTACCTATAAGAATAGGATAATTTTTTACATATATATGGCTGTCTATATTGTAAAGGCCGACGTGGCATGAATATTTATTTTTGCAATCGCCAGCGGTCGGACGTTCGGCTCGTCAGTCACGGAGAAAAGAACAGATTTCCACCCTTTCTCACCCGAGTTTTTCGGTAATTATGTAGTTTTAGTGTGTTTTTCTTTCCCTTTTTCATTTCAATGATGCACTGGTTGTTAGTTTGCAAGTGAGACATTTTTAAGGACGAGCTTCTGTCGCGGCCACTGCACTGGTTCCGCTCCGTCCAAAACGTACATTTACGTGATTGTACGTGAGGCATGCGCGTCACCACCACCTGCACAACCGGCAACCCTGCGTCATTTCGGTCGTGTCATTTGCATTTGTGGGCTGTCACTTGAGTTTGAATTTGAGGTGAAAAGAATAAGATCAGGGGGAAGTAATGCACGAATATACACGACCATGAAAACAGCCGATAAATTCTAGGCCCACTTTATTTTTTTATAAGGAGTCTAATGTCCAGGTCATGAAAATCCCCCCCGTCATGAAGCCCCACCCCCTTTTCGACAGCCTGATATGCCTGAGTAAATCCAGTTTTGGTGATTTTTATGGATTAATTTAATTAGGTCCCAGTAACTCTAACCTTGAAAGAATCAGAGGGCTTTGTCTTCCCTTTTCAGTTCTCCATTTTATTCCTCCATGACAAGTGGCAAGTCCGATCAAGGACCAATAGTTAACAAGTGTTTGGTTTGTGACATATCTAGCGCGTGTACAGTGAAGTTACATGTAGAGTGCTGGCGACCCTAGTCAACCGTTGTCAGATCGTTGGGCTGAAGGGAGGAAAGATTGCCGCAGGAAGGGAAAAATAGCAAAGTAAAAATGGTCGTTTACTAGTGACATACTGTTTTTCCAGCATTTTTCTTAAAACTGGTCCTATTAAGAACGGATGATGGCAACCAACGATGTGACCAATCTCGATAGGCTGATCGCAAACAGTTGACGAAACTAGTCCAACCATCGTCCACTAACGATCAGAGTTAGTCCAACTGTGGTTAACTGTGGTCCTTGATGCTTAATCGAACATGCCCAATGAAGAGTTCAGGCCCTACATGTACTTGTTTTCAAGGAAAGACGCCAGCCCTTAAAGTAATGAGACTCTTCCTCATGGTTAAAGATCCTTGCCAAACAGAACGGTGCAGTATTTGACAGTAGTTGCCAGATTCATAGGACTGGGTTCCTACTGAAACCTGTGAGAATTATTATGGATGTTGAAAGATTTTGGAAGTCAAACCTTATTCTCTTGTCGTTTTTGCAAGTTTAATTCTCTCCTTTTACATTGCTTGTATTTTCTGCAGTTATTTTTCACATTCGGATCTTTGACTGCCTTAATAATGCTACAGCTTACAAGCAGAAAAACAGAATTACATCTTCAGCTCTCAAAAGTTGCACTTTATGCTAAAAACGGCAAGGATTGACAGCCAGTGTTCGATTGAAGTTCAAGATTTGGACTTGAAGTGTTTAAAATATGCATTAAAATCAGGCTGACATTACACACTTGTCAGCCAACGGAATTCCCAAAAGACACGGTTCTCAGTGTTTCATTAGTTGAGCTCAAGTGATTTGTTCAATGTAAAAGCAGACTTCTCTCTAGTATTTTTCACCTACAGTGTAAGCTAAGCAACACTAGTAGAGGCATTCAAGTTGAAGTCGAAGCACTTGGCTGGTGTATGTCTGGTTTGTTTGATAAAGTTGATTTACTTGATAGTCTGGTGGTCAGACAATGAAATATGAAGGAAATATGTAGAGATGGAGACTGGCTGCCACACCTTTTAACAACGGCCAATTGACATAGAACTAAGGGTGTAGGACAGATTATTCCTTGTGTTGGTGGCTTTGACTACCTTACATTTTCAGATAATTACATGTAAACTTGAAATTGAGAGTCAAGTTTTAGACAATCTGAGTTTAAACCTCGCATACCTGTCATGGTCTGTTTTGGGTACTACCCACATGTGATGGATTGTAACCAGGCAAAACAAAAAGCTATTAAAAAGTATTCCACTCCTCAATACTCTCGATTTTCAAAGTTTAAAACAGAATATTTCTAATCTGCTTTTTCTTCATTTGCAGTGAACATATTACAATTACCTGCTGAATCACGGGCACATGATTTCATTTGTTGGACAAACATGGCAGCTGCATTTTGAAACCCCCAACAGAACTTTCAGTCTCATCGAGTGGACAAGGATTCTACTTTCAATTTTGCAGAGCTCCATGTGGATGTAAGGTTGACGTACCTTACCCTCTGTGAGAGTATTTGCGTTTATGCCTGGTGTGAAATATTTCTAGTGGAAATTCCTCTCAAGGATTCCCTGAGATAAAATCCCCCCTCCATCGGATCATCATGAGCGTAGGACCTCTCATCGGTGAGATAGCCTGCGTATTTCTTCTCTCCGTCTACCTGCTCCACAAGTATGGAGATTGGCGCAAACAGCATGTCTTGGTGACAGTAACAACATTCGTCTCGTGGTATTTCTCCTTCATCATTATCTTCATGATCCCCCTCGATGTCAGCACGGTTCGTATCCTTTTTTTTGTCATTCGTCAGTTTATAATGTTTGGTCATTGAAATGAACAATGGATGTTCTTAATCGTTGCTGCTTACTTTATTGGATGTTGTGGGATGGGTCGATGGGTGGGTTTAAAAGTGGGCAAAAATTTCAAACGTTGACAATTTCGGATGGCCTCTTAATGGTTGTTTAACTTCACATCTTATTACGTAACAGCTGCCTCTTTGTAAAAAAGGGGATGCAGTTTTTTATGTCTCTCCTCAAAACCCTGTTTTTAATTTGCAAATCCAGTCCCTATGCCTACAATTTCCAACCATGTCATTGTGTAAAATTCTTTTGTGCATATATTCTTTTATTTTCCAGAATTGTTGATTCAGTCTTATTTCATTCCTATCTGTCACTCATCACAAAAAGGGGCAGGATGGAAGATTTGCCGTCTCAAAATCGAATGTCCCTTATTGGAAACATAACGGGAAATTATTAAATGTGAACAATCATTGTGCCGTAATCAGTATATACACATACATTTGTATGGATGAGGAAATTTAAAGCTACATGTAACTCCATTGCAGTGAATTGATATATCAATAAGAAAGTAAGGCTAAATTTGCAATGTAAATATGTAGGCTGGTAAGGCAAATCCAGCTGTCAAGAGCATAAAATCAATTACCTGCGGGGGGGATCTGACGTCAGGAAACAAACAATCCATCCTGTCCTTTTCATGCAAGTAGGGGAATAATTTGTGCATTGCAAACATGAATAAATGGCAGACCTGCCCCCAGGCAAACATGGCGAGCATAAGTTTTTTTGGTTTTTTTTGGCGGGGTATAGGATGTAGTTTACAGGGAAATGATTGTAGCTGACCTTTAAGCTTATGGTTTTGTGTTTTGCAGGCAATGTTTGTTCTCAAATTTAGTTTTGATTTGAAGGCATCCATAACACAGACATGTTAAGTAGTTTAGATTTGTGGAAAGTTAGGATAGGATATTGCATGTTGAAGCATTCTGGAATAGTGAAATTCAATTTAATAATTACATTTGTTTATTTAAGTGCAACTGATATAACTGTAAAATCTTGTCCTACCCACCAACACAAGAAAGTAAAGTTTAAAAAACTCTAACGGAAGCAACAAAATCATCCCTATGCTCTTCCTTCTTTCAGAGCAGACACATTTCCCCAAAAGCTACGTGTAGATGAAAAATCAGCTCTTCTTGCAAATCTATCGTCCACAGGACATTTACTAGCCTGGCATCCAACTCAGCATCTAGTGCCTGTTAATAATTTGGTGCACATTTTCTGCCACATTACCATTAGTGGCACTCAGCCTTTGATAATTCCCCCAAGCAATATTACTTAAGAATGCTTAGGTCAGCAAGACTGCCCAAGTAGCAGCGATAGCTGATTTATAATCATTGAGGCTAGCAGACTGGAACAGATGAGGTTTTGACGTCATCTTGTGGTCAGACTCGTAGGCATAATATATGAAGATTCAAGTTGGGACACATATTATAACAACATTCGTCTCTGTGAAATGTCAGTCCAACAAAACGGGTGCTGAAAACCAAACATAATACCAGTGTCAATTATTACATGCATTTCAGTTGAGGATTTTATACCAGGAGTGAAAAAAAAAACATCTCAAAGAATCCATTAAGATGCAAGTATGCCTTTACATGAACATTTACTTGCATGTTAATTTCACACGTAGATGTAGGTTCCAATTTGTATAATAAGCTACTGCACTCTGTACAAAACATTGAATATTGCGTACATGTTTATGGATTTCCTGCATTTCAGACAGGTGTTTAAGTGGCATTTTTGTAAATTTGGCCTACCCAGAGCAGTGTATAGAGAGAGAACGCCAACTTCAGTGTTGGGAACCAAAATGGCTGTTCATTGTGTACAGTAGTAGCTAATGTGTGTCAATTGTCTATGTGTACCAACACATAATCCACCATTTTGGTTTCAACAATTGAGACACTCATGTCGCAACTCTCTCTATAAACAGCTCTGGCCCTATATGTATCGATACCTGTGGCCCACCCAGCACTTAAAACGTAACACTGCATTTTTAAAAATTGCTGTAAATTACAACCGTTTGAAATGAAAATTTGCTTGAAAAGAGGAATTGAAATGTTGTATACAATATAATCTAAGTTTCTACATAAATGTTTTGTTTAGACACCAGTTGAATCTCTGCATGTGATTCTCGGCACTTGAACAAGTTGGTAAAATGATACACCATGAATATAAAACAAAACAATGAATTTAATAATGTATTACTTGCACAGTGGAAGGAGAATGTGTTAGAATGAACATTCTTTGTAGTTTGCATGGATTATGTACATGTAGAATTTATAAGAGCCCTTGAAAAAATGGAAATATTCATGCAGTATGGCCGAGAAAACATCTTCAAGGTATCGTTTTTAAACTTTTGAATATAACCGTCCTATGTTGATCTCCTTTGTAGACATTTTACAGGCAATGCAAGGAGAGCACACAGAAGCCACCCACTACCTTCCAATCAACAACACTGAGCACTGTTGGGTTGCCTCATCCTCTAAACATGACCGTTGAGACTGCCCTTGTGAACACCACAAAGACTGACCCGGTCAAGAATACCATGACCTCCCGCATGGCCCGCGAGGCTCCTGACGACAACGGCGAGGTGACCTGCGAGAAACCTTGGAGTTACATCCCAAAGGATATCTTACCAGATATTTGGCTGATTGTTTACTGGACAACCTTTATACTGACGTGGTGAGTTCCAGGGAAAATGGAGGAGAGTTGGGAGTGTGTGTTTCTCAGTAAGTATGTGATTCCCTGATGATGTGATGGGAGGGGTTGATTTCAGCATTACTTGCTGTGTCCTTAGGCAAGGCACTTTACCCCTACTTACTTCTCTCTACCAACACTATATTGGTAATCCTTCAGGTATAGACTAAGCATTACAAATTAGAAATCTTATTACATGCAAGGTAAGTAGCTTATAACACAAATTTGCTGGTTTGGTAAAACTTCCAGAACGATATTGAACTGTGGGCCAAAAAAAACGGAATCTCTTGTTTTTTCAAAAATATTCATTCAGGTTTCAAAACCGTCTGTCGAAATGAAAGTGCCACTTTTGGGGGGCACAGCAGAAGTAACTGTCAAGAACTTGTAATAGTTTGAGATTCAATGTTAATGCTTACTCAGCACTTACAGGACGGTTGTGATATTACTATTATTACATGTATTTATTTCTGGTCACGACTTTGAGGATTCCTTAAAAGTGCCCTAGGCACTGTAGCTCACAAGCCTGAAGAAACCTGTAGAGAGGAGACAATGAGAAGCAGTTACAGTTTGAGAGGTGGGAGGAAAACCCCAGAGGAATTTTCTGGGTAAAACCCACGGAATTAGGTAGAGACTGGAAACCCAGGACTGAGCTGGGACTTGAACCCGAACCCAAAGTGGTAGAAGGCGAGGAAAGAACCACAACGCCAACCTGACTCCCCAACGGGCACAATGCCAACCTGACTCCCCAACGGGCACAACGCCAACCTGACTCCCCAACGGGCACAACGCCAACCTGACTGCCCAACGGGCAGGTAACAATATCAATAAGTTGCACTTCAGTCCTATTATCATCATGTTTCAGGGTCATCATGCCACTGATGAAGTCCTACGCCAACGCCGGTGATTTCACCATCCGTGGTAAGCTCAAGACAGCCATTATTGAGAATGCCATTTGGTACGGCAGCTACCTGCTCATCTTTGGAGTGCTTCTTATTTATGTCGCCGCCAACCCTAACCTGCCACTCGATGGGTAAGGATTCTCAAATCAAAACATGAGCTGTTGCCTAACTTGACCAAGTCGCAGGTTTCTCCAAGACTGCGCTAGGTTGCCCAGCGCACTCCTGAAGAATTCCTGGTTTTAATGCAAGAAATGCAATTCAAATGAAACAAACCCTTCCAGGTCTTCCTAAATCCAGCATGAAATTTTGATCAATTTTAACGGACTTTGGACTCCAGAACCCAGCTACCATTATTTTGCACTGAGTTTGATGTACATTTATCCATGATATACCATGGGGTTACTGCAGTGGATTGTATTGTCAAAATTCAGAAAGATTCCATGCCAAAAAAACTAAGAAATCCACCTAAGTCTTGAAGCTTAAGACTTCTCGATATTGCTTGTCTCTGCCAGCACTAAGCTACAGGTGATCTGCATCACAGCCAGCAACACTTGGGGCTTGTTCCTGCTGGTCTTGCTACTGGGCTATGGACTGGTGGAGGTACCTCGGCAGTTCTGGGCTCAGTCACGTAAAGGTTACCTCCTCAACTACACCTATTTCCAGATTGCCAAACTGAGCACCGAGCGATCTGAAGCCACTGAGGAATTGGAGGATCTGTTAGAGGTGAATATGGCCGGTGTCAATTACTTGGCTGTGGCTTGAAATTATGCATGAGTCTATGGGTAGCGGCTGCAGCCAGTTCCCATAGAGTTCTGTAATGCCAAGCCATAGTCAAGTGATTTGGACGTAGCCAGAGGGTTTGACAAGCCTGGTGAGCTTCACTGAACTGCTCAGCACAAAAGTTTTCTAAGTCTAAGCCGTGTCTGAATTGCTTGGCTATGGCTCGAAGTCACACCTGACTCTATTGAAACTGGCTTTGACCACAGCCAGAGACTTGTCTGTAATTTCAGGTTACAGCCATGTGATTCAAACATTGCCTAAGCTTAGAAAGTATTTGCTCAGCCAAAACAGGTTACCAGTCAATATATCACATGATGCATATTTCCTACAACTGGTTTCCGTCTGTTTTCACTTGGCAAGGGAATGTGGTGAGCAATTTTTCTGCTAAGAAGTAACCATTTTGGGTTCACATTCTGATAATTTTGTAATGAAATACATGGACATTGACTTCGAAGCAACACCCTTCAAGCTGGGAATAAACTGTGAAATGGAAAGAGCTTATTCCTACCAGAAATGCTCAGTGTCGTCATACAGCATTCAGAATGGAAACAGACCTCTTAACTAGCAAGGCTCTCTTAATGACCGTTACTTATTGACAGAGGAATTGTCTAGGATTCCAGATATGGTCAGAGGTTAAATTGATTTGTTTATCGTTGGTTTAGGATATTCGACAAGCCTCAGATGCGGTGCGTTACAATCATCCAATCAGGAAACACGTCAACACCATCATCAGTAAGTGTCCGGAGAACTTCCAAGAGTCACTCACCAAACATCTGGATGACTTCAAGGACTACTCTGACAACAAGCCACAGGTAAATAGAGACAGGTGGTTGCACAATTGGTTGATATCAGAGAGAAAAAGCAATTTGGTCAAGAAAAAGAATCAATGAACTCTTCCCTCAAGTTTCCAAAACACAGGTCACAAGAAATGGATTGTTGTTCAAGAACTTCATGCAGCCCACCGTTACATTTGCATATCAGAACTGTGCCTGGTTCTTGGAGTTAACATCTTTGAAACCTTTAGATACCATCAGAGAAGGAGTTGGTACGGTTGCATCGGAAGCTCATCTTTGCCTCGCTGGCCAAGCGGAGAACAGACACACAATGGGACATGCTGATGGAGAAAGCATGTCACCTTGAAGACATCCAGAGCAACGAAAATAACCACACCAGGTCAGAAGCGACTGTCCACGGGACAACTTTTGGGGACCCTTACTCCCTGCATAAGTTTTAAGAATTTTCCTAATCACTGCATGGGTACCCAAAGTCACATTTTTGTGCAAGAACCTCAGAAGATATCCAACTTCTTGCCGTGTGAATCGCAGGTAGCCAGCATCTTCCCCGATCCTGCAAAATCATCTCAAAGCTTTTAGATCTTGAAAAATTTTGGAAGGCGTAGGTCAATCTCCTGTACCTAGAATATCCCAGATTGTGTTTTGACATCTTCAAATCCTGCATTTAGGATATCCTGAACTGAGTTGATGTGTGAGGTTACCATCATGGGTTTACCGACTTGGTAAATGTGCTTTCAGAGTCAAGAAAAAATGTTCAAACTTTTTTTCTCGTGAGTTGATCACACCTCAAACATTACTTCTGTAACACTTTCCCCTCACACTGTGTTTCTAATTTTCACCTCCAACTGTAGAAAGTTCAAGCATTCCTTTGACCCCAAGTACTCCTTCCTAGCTAGTTACATCTGCTCGCCCACCGTGGAGTGGTATTGGTTTGTCTGGCTGATGCCTTCCATGCTGAAGGTCATAGCCATTCTCCTGCTGCTCTTCTCTCTCATGGTCGTCTGGTCAGAGGTCACCTTCTTCAGTATTGAGCCGGAGCTCTCGCTGTTTGCCATTTTCATTGGTGCTGCCGCGAGGGATTACAACTACCTCTGCATTGAGGTTTGCACTAACTGAATGAAGATTTTTCTGTGAAACTGACGTTTTTAGGCAGCAGTTCCAGCATAGGGTTGGATCTCACTCAGTTGATAGTTAATAGACTCTTGGCACAGTACTGTAGAAGTCTTGGGTTCAAACTCTGTTTCAGTCAGTAAGAAAATTCCATTTTCGTGAGTGACTTGCAAATTATTTTTTTAATCTTGGGAGGTATTTAAAAATCCATTTCATCAAGAAACTCTGCGCTACACCAGATATCAAGCAGAAATGACTAAACATGCTCTTATGTTGAGCGCTTGAGGAACTTCCAGGGTTTGCTATACCAAGAACATGCTATAGTGGATTAATCAAAGGCTGTTTATCCATCTCTGCTCAGCTCTTATCCTGCCTCATCATTGCCTATCTCTGCTGGTGTGCTTACTACACCGTCTTCAAAGTCCGAGTTTTCAACTACTATTACCTTGCCCCCCACCACCAGACCGACGAAAACAGCCTCCTCTTCTGTGGCACGTGAGTGCAGTGGTCTGTTTCATTCACACCGAGTTTGCATTGGATCATGTTGTATCTTTAGTTGGACCTATGCTTCCCAACCACATCACAGTTCTAAAAGTCAGTAAAATGGTGTGTGTGTTTTTTTAATGTAAGTTGCTTTGGAGTATGAAGCGGAACTTGACATTGAATTGGTCTAAAGTTCTCATTAAGAACTCATTAATGCTTTCACAATGTTTCCTCTTGTATTTCTTTGTTTTTTTGGAAGGGCAGGATGCTGTGCCGGCTAACTCCATCTCTTTGCCTTAACTTCCTGGGTCTCATCCATCTCGATGGTCACGTAACTGGCAAAGAAGATATGATTGAGACGTCATACACCTCGGTGAGTTGAAGACTGAGAGTTAACCCGAACTGAAAAACTGGAGGATTTAACACTGTCTCAGTTGAAAAAGCCGGTTTCACACTGATGGATGGATTATAAGATTTGCGGATTTGGGCCTTACTCACAAGTTGACCACATTGAATTGAAAGTGAGGTTAACTTCTTGATTTTTGGAATCTGACCTTAGAATAAGAATGAAAGCAATAAAAAGTTCATCACTAATTAATGTCATTTATGCTGATAAATAATTAAACACTTTGATTAATTATATCCAAACATTTTAAGCCACATTTAAGACAGAGGCATGGAATCCAAAACAGTCTGGCACCACCCCATTTATCAGACTACAGTATATAAGATAAGATTCTGGGAACAAGATCAAAAATGGATACCCTGTAAAGGTGTTTTGGCTTCTTTTTGTGACCAGATCATGGGTCGTCATATGGACGTTTTACCCTTCATGGAGGCAGGGTTCTATATCTATTATCCTATCACCGTGGTGCTTCTATGCATCGCTACCTACTTCCATCTGGGCAGTAGGTGTCTCTCCTTCCTCGGATTCCAACAATTTGTTGGTGATGAGGATATGACTACTGATCTCATGAACGAAGGACTGCAACTCGTCAAGCGAGGTAAATTGTGTCACTGTCGTTTCTTGTGTATAAATGGATTCCTCGTTGCTTTCAGTTAGAAAAGGCAACCATGTGAATTGTTAAAAGAATTCAGTGTCTTTGAATAACCAAGAGTTTAATGGTTGTGTGACAGTTCGGTATGTGTTCACACAATCCAGAGAGAGTTAAGAGCGCTACTGCAAACTGTTAACTAAAATGATCTGAAATGTATAAACTATAAAAGATTAGACCAGGTCAAATCATTTCTCCTAGACTTAATGTTTCACTTTTGCTTTTGACGAACACTTAATTAACCTCAAGCAGTTTTAACTTTTATGAGTGATACAAGACTTTATTTTCAATTGATCTTTAAGTAAGATTTGAAAATTTGCATGGTGGAAGTAGTACATATGGTAAGGATTTGCGGGTACAACGTGGAATGTATCTTTTCAAGAAGAGTTGAGGTTCTGAAGAGAACCGGTGAGTATCAACTTGCCATTTCGACCGGGATGCTCTCACCGTCCTCAGGAGAGTGATGAACAAAATTGATCTTTCCTCTTACTGATATAAAAATGCGATAAACAGAGAGGAGAAACCGACAGCGACAGATTGATGGAGAGCTTCGGAGGAAGAATTTCCGGGAGCAGTTTCCATCTCGGGAGAACGGGTCTGGACCCGTAAGCGGGAATCGCTTTGGTCCCAAACCACGAGGCAGTGATAGTGACACCAGCAGACATAGCACAGGGTCCTTAACCACCAAAGGTAAATCGGGTCATGTCTCAATCAGACTTCCAGACCTATGGCTATGTCTGCTGTCAGAATGTGACTATAGATTTCCAACCAGCAAAGACCTAGCCCTTAGACATTAACTCAGGCTTGACCTTTGACTTGGTCATTTTACTGCTTCTTCACCCATTTCCAAAGCTCATCTTGTGATACTCTGCATTAAGTGCTAGTTAATAAGTGCATAATTGACTAGAAGCATTGTGGAATTGTATGCGAGTTCTGGATTTGGAAATTCTAATGAATCAGAAGTTTTAATTCAGATTTGACTGAAATCATTCAAGAAAATCTCAGGGAACTGGGCGTAGATTTTGAACAGCATAAGGCCCTTGCACCAGACTGCTTGTTGAGATTGCTGTTGGCCCGCGTCGGCTCTATGCACATTTCCACGCAAGAGACATGATGATGTAAATGCAATTATTGCCACATTATACATATCTAAAGTATAATTCCGGAGTCAAGATAAATCGATCCTGTATTTGTCTTCACAGCCAAGTATAGTCGTAGGGAACCAGAGGATTCTCGCGTTGAGTTACTGCGCGACAGTGAGCCTATTGACTACAATGAGGAAAGTGCAGCAGAATTCACCGACAGCCTACCAGACTACAGTAGAAGGCACAGCAGCGGTCGCAGCACCAGTGGGTACTCATCAGACACGGCCGCCGGACGTAGCACGGGCTTGGGTAAGCCCAGGGGAGCTAAAGGTATCTTTGATGATGTTTGAGGAGGACCCTGAGAGTGAGAGCGGATGCACTTGCCTAGCTACCAACAGCTGCTAACCCTGCCTTCCCAGATCCTTCAAAATCCACCAGGAGGTTTTGGAGGATCTAGGAGAATGGAACCTGTCCCTTGTTACTTTATGCGGGACTGGATGCTTCTGGAAAGATGAAGTACAAAGAAGGTTAAGTACAGCTGGACAGTATTTGGACAATTTTAAAATCCTCAGAAGGTTAGGGAAAAACTTGGCAGGCCATTCTAATGTGGGAGAAGCTATTTACAATGCAGCAGGGGATCGTGGAAGTTCTGCAGCTTTCATTTCAACTTTAGGAAAGGTCGCAGCAGTCCAAAAGAATACACGGCACTTGTAGAAAATTTCCAAAGGTGGTGTTTAGTTATGATGTTAAAAAAAGAGAAGCAATCTTTACAAGTGTCATTGTTATGCAGCGGTGTGTTAGAAGTGCCATCTACACCACATAGTCTCACTTCATCTCACCTTGCATGGAGCAAAACTTGAACATATTTCCATTGGTTGAATACAGTGATATAAGTCCCTATTGGACATGGGTAATATTTTCGAAGACACTGGGCTCTATTTTCATTGAAGTTTGCAAGAAGTGTTTGTTAGGCCCACCAGAGGGTAACAAAAATGTGATTTATTTATGGCATATTTTATCTCTAATTGTATGGGAAAAGGAAACTGGTTTTTATTACTGATTTTTGTTATTGGTGATTACGTCCATTTTTAATGGTTAATGGGTTTTTGCGCACATTTAGTATTTATTTAGAGGACCTACGGTCTACCACCATTTATCACAAGTCACCTCAATATTTGTGTAGACTATTGAGTGTATAAATAAGAACAATTTCCAAGAAGTAAATTAACTGAAAAATGACAACTTTACATTCTGTTTTCTGCATTGCATTGCAGGAACCAGACAGGCTCGTCAAACTTAACATTCTTCATGACAGTTCTTGTATGATGCAGTAAAACTGCAGGACTGGGTTTTTTGGCCAACTTACCCAAACAATGTTGACATTTTATTTAATTAGGAATAGTGTATCCTCAAAATGACATCTGTACTCAGTCACTTTCATATCACTTCCTGCATAAGCAGGAGTAGTGATTTTTTGCTTGTTTGTTTGTTGTGAAGTAGATTACTTCCATGAAATTGGACAACTTAGATATTGTACCTGCAGGTCAGTATTAATTGGAACAAACCTTGTGTATTCATTGTCCAAAGTTGAGGAAAGAATGGCATATTTCGAATAGGTGGTCATTTGAAATTTCGATCAAAATATCCATTTTGCTTGGAGTGCAGCCTTATTCCTGCTAGATGTGCTTCAATCTGCCTCTGATCATGACCGTTTGTTCCGTTTCTAGCACTTGGTGTTTCTGTTAAGGAATCTGTGAAGTACCGGTAATGTCAAGTAAAACAGCCATGGTAGGGAAACTCTGATCAACCGAGATGGGTTTACCGAACCTGATCAGTGTGATGTGTCTGGTTGGGTTAAAACCAGGTTCAGTACAGATGCAAGGCAAGAGAACTACCAACACCCCAGCCTGATACATTGTCTTTGCTTTAATAACAAAGACAAACTTAATTTGACTAACGATGACAATGATACAGTGTCCCAGAAATATCACTTGCACTTTGTGCTCAGAAGGATGAGAAAACAGATGCCACAAATGTTGATAAAATTAAAGTATTGTAAATGAAATATTCGTGCCTGGTGCTTTCTGAGAGCAATGTGATGAAGATAAATTCCAGATAAATGTGCAATATAATCTGTGATATGGGAAATGATTTGTTCCCCTTGTCATATTGGCCTAGACTCATATTTCCTAATCTAAACAATTTTCTCAATTCTTGCTTGGTTGGCTTCTGTTAATTTATTGTCCCTGTAACTTTCATTCATGCCCACCACACCAAACTCCTAAATCACATCCTTTTCAAGAAATTAAATAGAAAAAGGACAAATCGGTGAAGCCATAGTTAATACGTTTGGAATTTCTTAAGGAAGTCCTAACATCGTCGAGATGCAAGAAGCTGTCCGTAAAATTTGGAATTTTGATCTCAGTGTGAATTTTGCATGTTTGATTAGCAGGCCAGTACTGTTAAGATCAAAATTTCACATGCAACATTTTTTTCATTCTACACATTCCATCGTTCTTTTGTTTTCTTTTGAGAGACCTGTTTATGAATTGATACAAAACAAGCTGTGATTCATCCTTCTATTAAGTGTGGTTATTTGGAATATAAGGACCAATTTTGCTGCTTGAAAATAAGCTGTAACTACGTGTACTATAATGTGATGAATGTAGTTCGGTTATGTAATAAATATGATGTATTGTAGTGACACAGATTCTTTTGTGGTATTTTTTTTACGATTCTGCTCTTTAAATCTGAACCGTGTTTACCGCTGGAGTGTCAGGTCTAGGCTACCGTAGCCACATCACTCTTTTCTTTGTAAGCACAACAAGGCTTTGAATTGTTGGTTTACATTCTGAGCATTATTTTATTTTAAATCTTGGATGTTTGAACTACACTACTCCAAAAAGTTAGAGATCACCTCTTAACTTGAATTTTTTCCAAGCAATGAGTGGGGTCTAGTTCTTTCATTTTGTTGTTTAGATGGTGTTCTCATTGGAATAAAAAAAAATTCAAAAATCAGGACAGTAGTAAAATATCCCATAAGAAAGTACACAAAATAAAAAGTGGTCCTTAACTTTTTTGAGTAGTGGGTGTTCCTAAAGTTGCTGAACATCATGAAACTTGAGTCTGAAACCCAGAGATAACCCGAAAACCTGCATTTCACTGACACTGGCGATTGTCTTCTCAGTCGAAACGTGTGTGATGAATTTGGGTCAACGGTGCGTCGGAAATTTCCATTTGAAAGAATTAATAACCAGTGGAATGACACTCGACAGGATCAGCTGACATGTAGTCGCAGAAGAAATAATGGACCTCGAGACTGGAAGGAGATCGATGGTGTGGAGTCTTCAAGTAAAAAACCGACGGCTGTGATTGTGGACGTCAACGCAGGAATAAGTCCAACATGGGATGTGTGACGGTGGTGATCTCGTTGAACCCGACTGAATGGGTAGAGTTTACATGAAACCTCGGGCACTGCTATGGAGGAATATTGCAAGAGGACATTAATTTCTAGGTAAGTTTTTGGCCCGAAGTTTCTTGCACATGTATCAGTGACTGATTGTGGCTGGTTATTTGTAACTGGTTAATACGTTTCCAAGGCGCTGGGGGTTGGAGACTTGAAGGAAGGCTGGAGGAAAGGATTCCAAAATAACAACAGCAAGGGAAGCTTCCACAAGCTGTCGAAACGAGTCTTCTTTCAAGAAAACCATTTCCTTCATACTTTATATATGGTGTATTTTCAGACCTTTGTGTGATTAAAAATATTACGTCCCACGAGTGCGCCACACATTTATTCAGACGCATTAATGAATATGAGAAATATCACGTCCTGAAAATGTCGCATTTGAACATTTATGTTTATTATACCACGGTCATAGCTAGTGAATTATTATTGGTCGCGAATTGATCACGTGATTTGCCCCAAACGCGCGATGTATCATTCACGCGTCGGGTGCACTGGCGATATTGCGTTCACGTTCCCCTCATTTTATGCGCTTGTGAGTACAGACTTGTTTGATGGAAGATTGGAGGAGATGAAGGATTTTTAAAAGGTGATATTTTCTAGTTGATTTAAGGAGTACTGCGGTGAAGGGTTTAGGATTTTGTAGCCCATGTATCGGTGGCATACATACATGTGACGTGGCCGCGTGGTATCTGCCTGCACGGGCGAAGGGATAGTGAAAGATAAATGGTGTAATCCTCTTGTTTTACGGTTTTTTGGTATAAGCATAAGTAAGTATATTTCTTTCTGTTGAACTAGTTAGATAACTCTGTTGGTTTTGGACTGTATATTGGGGTTATGAATGCATCGCAACGACTCCACGAGCTGGCTCTGCATTTGACCTAAATTTGGGATATCATTACAGTCTTTATCAGTTTGGTATTCAAGGGTATTGCTGGAATGCTCTTTTAATGGGAATAGTAGAGCTCTAAGGGCTTCCATTTTTTTTTAAAGAAAAACATTCCATTTTCGGAGTATTACATGATAAAAAGCACTTGCTCCATCCTTTTGGCTCAAAATTAGTTTATTTAGGGGTGGAAACTCATCTAAAATAGTTGACGAGTCGAGTTGATCACTTGATGTACATGTAGCTACGAGGTACATGCATATTAATTGCGGAGATCCACATCCCACTAATGCCTATCGAAGAATATAACACGCCACGACGACGAATGGCCCCACGTCAGCCACACCGACAGCCACGAGCCACCGTACAACACCCTCTTGGGCTGCTCCCCCATCGTCATATTGATGAATACACTGCCGGGCCACGCAGGCAAAACGCAGACATGGGCAACAGAACCCACCGGCCAGCCAGGCATCAGCCTTCTGACGCCCAAGACTTCTTCGCTGAAGGCACCTTGGCGTGAAACAGAGAACAATGCTACCCAGGCCGACTCCCCATCACTTTCTCGGGCTGTCCCAGTGAACGCGCCATTAGGCTACGGAACTCCACGTCCCTACCGTAGGACTGCCCACCGAGCTGAAGTCGCCTCGGCCCCCGCCATGCCTGCGTGCACTATGCAGAGCCTGAGGGCTGAGGGGACAAAGCCATACAGTGTACAACCATTCCACCACCAGCATTTAACGGCTCAATGAGGTCTGCGGGAGGTGGGTCCACGCCTCACCCACTGACCTAAGCGTTGGCTCCAAGCCTAAGCTCACCGACATCCGATCCTTTCAATGTGGGCGTTCAGGCATGGATCAGGCAAAGCGCTTCCTGGGCAGACCCCCTTTGTTCCTGCCCTGGTGAAAGCGCCATCGGAATACGGTCCCAACGCCATGTGTCCATTGTTACCTAAACCGAAACATCTCCCACTGCTAGGCTCACCAAGACCCTCAACTGCCGATCCAGACGACCTCTACGCGCCTAATGCCACTTGCATTTCAGTCCACATCAACGGGGATCCCAGGCATGAACCGGACCATAGAGCTACTTGTACCGGGCAACCCCCATCATTCCCATCCCCCCATCGGAATGCAGATCTGTAGCCACATCTCCCTTGTCTGCACCTCTGGCATCAAAACCCATCGGGCTGCTGCACCACCGTGATTTAACAATTTCAAGCCCCGGGTCTTTCGCCCTCCGGTATTTTCCTCGGGTTATCCCGGGAGAATGAACGCTTCCAGGTCTCCTGCCACTGCAGCTCACCTCGTACGGCTTCCACCCGAATGTGATCCACAACTTGACCGTTTTTCTACCGCCTCTGCCCAGCCGGCCTTTCTGCGAATTTTCCGCCACTTCCCCATGTGTAAGAGGCGCTTTTCTTTCGTTGGGTAGTTTAGAAGGAAGCTTCATTTGTCCAGACACCACAACGCTTCTTCCGGACGTGATCCGCAGCTCGGCCGTTTTTGCCCGCCCGTCTAGCCCCTTGTGAATTCCCCTGCTATTTTTTATTCAAACTGTTCCGTGCGTAAGAAGTGTAAACGCTCCACGTCTCCACCGGGTCATATTGTAGGAAGTTGCATTCGTCCAAACATCACACCGCTTCCTCCTCAGCTATCATCTTGACTTCGCGGTCCGGCTCTGAGTCACGCTCTTTGCTGGTCAGCCGCCTTGATCCTAAGCGGACACGCGCGTATCGTTTGTAACCCGACGGACAATCTACCTACATCCGAACCCTCATGCGATCCCCCTCATGACATGCAACATAACGGGGCCTCGTCCAGACTTATCCCAATCCTCACGGTGGGTCTTCCGGGGACGAAGGAATAGTCTCCGCTTTTACTCGTACGCAATCAGAGATTTGTCTTCGTCTACCACACAAACATATCATTCCAGTCTTGGGTCTGCCGCTACAGACAAGATCGGTCTGGCTCAGCTAAGTCTTCCGACAAGGGCCCTCTTCCTCGACTAGGACAAATCCAACCTTAAGCTTACCCTAACCAAGTTGGATTGGGCCTCTTGTTGCATCTCCGTTGTGCGGCCTTTTATTCCTACCTTATAGGAGTACATGTATTTCTCCTGGGGCAAAAAAGTCTCCCGTCTCTCCTGACCTATTGCAGTAGCTCTTATGACACTGGATGAGAACGTCAACTCTGTCCTCGAGCAGTTCTTATTCATCTCTTGCCTCTCCCTCTTTACAGGAAAGACTTATCCGCGGGACAACTCAAAGAGACGAAAGAATCGTAGGCTAAGCACATCCAGCCAACTCACTCGTTCACCCAGTACGCAGACCAAGTTTGGCACTGCCCTCCCCTCCTCAGCCAACGTAAATAACACACAGGGCACTGTGCTGGTGACTGCCTACTACACTTTATGTACATGTAGTTCTGGCAAGTCTACACGTCGGCCAGATGGGTTCTCGCAACTGTTTTCGATTATTCTTCGGGCTTACGGGTGTCCCTCCGTCCGACCACATTCTTCACCTAACTCCCATCCCTCCTACAAGACCGAATGGGTAGGCATTGGAGACAAAAAGGAGGTTCAGTCGCCCCTAAGATGTTCTGCATGGGGGCATCCTGAACACTCCATGAAGTCTCAACCCTTGTCGACTCTATCCTGGCCATTCGTTGATGGGTGTGCAAATCGCTTTTTTTTTACTTTCACGTCTGCAGTCCATCTACGTATTTTACAAGTTCCTCTGATTCATCTACACCGGTAGAACTTTCGGGATTCAACCTGCCATTCTATCTCTGGGCGTCCCAAAGGGTCTTCACCCGAATGGCGGAAGTTCTGACCGCCTACGTACGCTAGTTCGCAACACCGTCATTCGAATATTTCGTGGGCAGTTCTCCAGACAAGACTTCAGTTGACACTGGCCTTATTTACGAGCTTGCCATCTGCTGTTCTTCATCACTTTGGAATATTGCGGCCTGTCCCTGCTCATGTTCTGACTGATCTAGGTGCGGTCCCGACCCCTCTCGGGCTCCTGCACCAAACACAACTCTTCTTCGACCTGATGATGAGTCTGGTGGACCCGGTACCTCATTACCGTTTTCATATCGAGGCCCCTCCAGCCCACGTTCCAGCCCAAATTGTGACCTGATCAATCTCCCAGATTTCGTGATGAACCTCATCCGGTCACCACTTTACTGGCATCTCAGTGTACGGAACCGTTTGGTTTACGACCTCCCTCTCTCAAAGATGGATCTGTAGGTGACGACTTTCTACGAACCCGTCCAGAATTATCTGGGGTACTTCCCCTCCTGACCTCCCAGGTCTCTGTTTTTGAGAAGTCTCTTCAACACGCGGAACTCCAGGCA